ATCGACAGTAAGGGGAATACTTACTTCCGGGTGTACAATTCTCCATTATCCAATGAGAATGGACGCTCACATTGCCTTTAAGGGCAGCCGACACAAACGAATGCCGTGCTTCCATGAGCGTCCATAGAAGCATATGGACATCCCGGAAAGCTGAAAATGGACGCTAAGGGCCCCCCCCCTTGCGTTGAAAATGGACGCTAAGGCCCCCCCCCTTGCGTTGGAAAAAGCCGACAGGGGACTTGACATAACGTCAACATAGGCCGACCTGGGAGTGAGGATGTGTTGCCATATCAGAAGCATCCACCTCCAAAACAAATTGTCTTTCAGGATCGGGTACTCGGAGGATGGGGGCGGAGGTGAACCTGGCCTTAAGGTTCTGGAACGCCTCCTCAGCCGAGGAGGACTACTGGAACATAACCTTAGTGGCGGTCAGGGCTGTGAGTGGAACGGCCAAGGTGCTGTATCCACGAATGAACCTCCGGGAGAAGTTGGCGAACCCGAGGAACTGTTGTAGCCGCTTCCGGGAGTCTGGAACCGGCCTGGAAGTGACTGCATCAACCTTGAAGGGGTCCATCTCAATGCTCCCCTGTCCCACGATGTATCCCAGAAAAGAGACAGAGGATGTGTGAAACTCACACTTCTCCGTCTTAACAAACAGCGAGTTCTCCAGTAATCTCTTGAGAACCGCCTGGACATGGTGCACGTGTTCTTTCAGAGTCTTGGAAAAGATCAGGATGTCATCCAAGTAAATTAATACATGCCGGTCCAACATGTCACGGAGCATGTCATTTACCAACTCCTGGAATACTGCAGGGGCGTTGGTAAGTCCAAAAGGCATCACCAGATACTCGTAGTGCCCCGAGGCGGTGTTGAAGGCAGTCTTCCACTCATCCCCCTCGCGAATACGTACCAAGTGGTACGTGTTACGCAAGTCCAGCTTGGTGAATATGGTTGCTCCCTGCAGCAACTCGAATGCAGAGGAGATAAGAGGCAGTGGGTATCGATTATTTATAGTAATGTCATTAAGACCCCGAAAGTCGATACAGGGCCTTAGGGTCTTGTCTTTCTTCTCCACAAAGAAGAACCCCGCTCCAGCGGGTGATGAGGAAGGGCGAATAATCCCAGCCGCCAGAGAGTTATTGATATAAGTCTCCATGGAAACTCTTTCCGGAGCAGACAGGGAGTACAATCGACCCCTGGGAGGGCTGGTGCCGGGATGCAGGTCGATGGCACAGTCGTAAGGCCGGTGTGGTGGTAGGGAAGTAGCCCTCGTCTTGCTGAATACTTCCTTGAAGTCCAGATATTCCGGTGGAACTACTGTAACATCCGGAACTTGGCTGGGGTTCCCCGAGCACTGAGGCGCGGCAGCCTGTTTCAGACAGATCTAATGACAAGAGGGGCTCCACCCCAAAATGGCTCCCGTCTCCCAGTCAATGTTAGGGTTGTGGCGGCGGAGCCATGGGTAACCCAGGATAAGCGGGATATGTGGAGACCGGAGAACATGAAACTGAATAGTTTCGTGATGGTTCCCGGACAGGAGCATGTAAACGGGTACAGTCTGATGAGTCACTGTCCCCAGCAGGTGACCGTCTAAGGCGCTGGCTGGAACTGGGCAAGATAAGGGAACCCGGTATATTCCCAACTGCAGCATAAGCTCTTCATCCATAATACTCGCGTCCGAACCAGAGTCAATAAAAACTGCAAGAGCCTGAGAGCTATCTGGCAATAGCAACCTGGCGTGGCTCAATGGTCTCTGAGCGGGAACAAATCCAGGGGATTGGCTCACCAGTATGTTCCCCATTACTGCTGAGCCCTGCCTTTTACTGGGCAGCGAGAAACCAAATGGCCAGCCCGGCCGCAGTAGAGACATAAGTTACTTCGTCTGCGATTTTCACGTTCCTCCAAGGTGAGGCTGGTGCGACCCACCTGCATGGGCTCATCACCCCCTGGTTGCGGCTTTGGAGTGAGGGAAGGAGTCCCAGTCGAACCCGGATGTCGGGGCACCCAGGCATGTTGAACTCCCTCCGATCGTCGCTCCCGTCTCCGTGTCTGGATGCGCCGATCAATGCGGGAAGTCAGCTCAATCAGCCCCTCCAGTGAGTTGGGCAGATCAAAAGACACCAGCTCGTCTTTAATGTAAGCCGCCAAGCCACGCAGATAGGCGTCACACTGGGCTGCAGAATTCCAGTTGCTGAGGTGGCCCCTGGTGCGAAATCCAATAGCATAATCCACCACAGATCCATTACCCTGGCTCAGGCTCAGTAGTCCCCCTGCAGCGTCTGGACCCACGGACACGGGTCCAAACACCTTGCGTAGCTCCGCGGAAAAAGCGGGGAAAGAAGAGCATGCGGGTGTCTGCTGCTCCCATTCAGCTGTGACCCACAGTCGGGCTTTCCCAGTCAGATGATTGACAGTGAACGCCACATGAGCTGTGTCAGAAGCGAAAGTTTGTGGCTGCTGCGCGAACCAATAGTATGAAGCTGCAGCATCGGAGGCTGCACTCTCAGGACCGCACTCCCACGACCGCACTCCCGCGACCCTAATTGTTTTGCGTATTGTGTTGTGTACTTACCATAGTCTGTATAAAGTAACATATTATATCTTATATTATTAATATATATATAAATAATTCGGATAAAATGTTATTCCAGCGTCAATAAATGAGTGTTAATCCCAGTGTGTTTAGTGTACAACATCACATGTCATTTCACCTTCAATTCACGGTTTTCAAAACGTTAGCCAAATGCTAATGCTAACCGGAAATGAAGAATCTTCAGAATAAAAGTGTTAAGTTAATAGTTAGTGTGAACTTCCGGGTTTTTCAGAATAAAACTGCTTTAAATTAAAACCCTGTATTTAATTTAAATTACGTCATATCAACATCGAAACATTGAGGTTTGGGAGGGAGGAAGGAAGATTAGGATTAGGTAAAAAGGTAGGGAGTGGTTAGGGTTAGGATGGGGGGAAGGGAAGGGTTACGGCCCGTCTACACTACAGGCGTCAAAAAATGCTTTCAACGCTTCGCCCATTCATTTGAATGGGGTGACGTGGATATTTTCAAACTTCGCCGAACTGCATTGTGGGTAGCATGGCAAGGCGTTGCAAGCATCACGAGCGTCTATCGGCGTCAAAAGTTAAACAATGTTCAACTTGAACAATGTTCAACTTTTGAGGCTCGATGCTTGCTCGAAGCTGGCGTCAGCCAATCAAATCCCGTTTTTGCAATTCCCGCCAGTACAAGCACTAGCCAATCAAACCGCATGTATGCTGATCCCGCAGGTCTTGACTATTTTCCATATGTCATAAAATGGAGGACAAATTAATCATTGCCGTGGCAAATGTCCCAGTCTTGTATGACTGTACTCTGTTCACCTACCGGGACCTAAACCGGAGGAACCAGGCATGGCGGGAGGTGGCAGAGACAGTTGGTGAAACTAGTAGATTTTCTGGGGAGTTTATATCCAGTTTACTTCGTTTTAGCATTGAATGGACAGCTAGTAATGTAGCATAATAACATATAATATATATTAATATAATAATAAAAAAACATTATAATAAGTATAAGCATAATATATAACATAACATATAATACATGCACAGCTATCAAGCATAGACAGTATATTTAGCCAGCTAGTAATGTAGCATAACATATAATATATATTAATATAATAATAAAAATATATAATATATAATATAATAAGTATAAGCATAATATATAACATATAGCCTAATACATGCAGAGGGTGTCGTTTTTCTCATACTTACTGATATTCTGAACAATCTGTGCTGTTGTATTTGCTGTAAAGTGTCTCTACTGTAGGCTAATTTTATTATATGTACAGCACTTTGGCTCGACCAAAAATCGTTTATAAATGTGCTATATAAATAAAACTTGATTTGATTCACAGCTATCAAGCATAGACAGTATATTTAGCCAGCATGGAATGTAGCATACAAATAGCATTCATTAATGGAGGAATAATTTAGAAAATTCAAGAAATTCACTTTATTATTTATTAACTTTATTATTTCATTTCATTTTATTAGATAATGTCTGCAAGAAGAGATGGAAGAGTCTGAGGGACAGGTTCCGCAAGGAAAATAATATGGAGAAGGAGGCCAAAAGAAGCGGGGCAGGGTCTGCAAGGTGGTACAAGCCCTGGCGTTTCATGGCAGTGATGGGGTTTTTAACCCCATTCATCATAGACCGTGAGACGTCCAGCAATGTCCCCCGGCAGACCCTGCCTCCATCCACCCTGGTGGCAGAGGAAGAGAGTCAGGTAGACAGTGAGTCAGCCAGCCAGTCCACCAGCCAGTCCGCCAGCCAGTCCACCAGTCAGCCCGCCAGTCAGCCAGGAGGAGAATGCTGAGGTCCGGGGCAAAACACGGGGGAGGGGGAGGGAGATGTCCCCGTTTGAACGAAGTCTGCTGTCTGCTGTCAGCAATTACCAAGCAATTGCCCAGCCAACCCCACCAGTGGTGGAGGAGGACGAGGACTTGCAATTTTTCAAGAGCCTCTTGCCCACCATGAGGCAGATGACAAGGGCACAGAGGGCAAGAGTCCGCCTCGGGGTACACCAGCTAATTTTTGACGTGGACCAGCAGGACAATTTATAATTTAATAATATGTTCACACATACTGATCCACATTACATTTGTTTACACTCATCACACACACTTCACTCAAATTCACCAAATAAAACATTATTTCAAGTATGTTGTGGCTATACTATGTCTTCACTTGTTCATGTGGTTTGTCAGTTGCAACATACCAGAAGCTTCATGTATGTCGGTATATATAATGTGCTTTCTTCTGTAATTGGTCATATGAAAACCTATTGAAATTATGAGTGGTTTATCAGTAAAAACAGGGCTGAAAGAAAAAGGTTGTTAGTCATATCATAATATAATAATATCAATTCAAGAAACATGTTTATTAGGAATGTTTGATTTTAAAATGGCTCATTTGGAATATTTGCTCTTTAAAGAAAATGGGTAGCTCTTAAAAGAGCTTTTGGTTTGGAGGAGCCATGGTGACCCTACACCACTTTATGCTGCCATGACACTACACCCTCCTCATTCAAATAGGAGCAGAAGGTCTCCCGCAGTTGGATGGATCGGCGTGTGGCGTTGTTTGAGCCCATCATAGGTGCATCGCGCAGGGTTGGAGCTTCATCACTCGACTCTGCGACGACAGGTGTGCGTGATGACCTTCCTATTGTCTTCCTGCGGAGGAAGTTGTGCAACACACAGGTGGCCTTCACACACAACTCTGTTACCTCCGGGCTGGTGGTAATGACACGCCGGAACATTCTCCACTGAGATGAGAGGATGACAAACGCACATTCAACCACCAACCTGGCCCGGCTGAGGCGGTAGTTGAACAGCCTCCTTTCACGCGTGAGCTGACGTCCAGGGAACGGACGCAGCAGGTTGTCCAGCAGCGGAAAAGCCTCATCTCCAACAAACACATGGGGAAGAAGGCCCAGCCGCTCTGCTCCTGGGATGACGGTGTCAGGTGGTAGCTGCAGACTGCCATCTCGGAGGCCCTCTCCAAAAGCGGAATTCCGCAGGCTCCCACCGTCGCTGCTCCTTCCAAAACCTCCGACATCCACTACCCTGAAGAGGTACTGGGCATCCACTACAGCCAGTAGTACCAAGGAGTGGGTGGACTTGTAGTTGAAGTACAGGGACCCAGAATTTGCCGGAGCCTGGATCACCACATGCTTCCCATCAATGGCACCAACGCAATTTGGAAAGTTCCAGCGCTCCTGGAACCCAGCAGCGATGGCTCTCCAGTCCTCCGTCTGTGGTACCGGCATGGTCTCCTCGACCAGCGCAGTCCAGATGGCACCCGCAACCTCCTTGACGATGACAGCCACTGTTGCATGCACGAGTCATCGGTTGCCAGGTACCTGAGAAAAAAGTAATATACAAGATTTAAAAAAAAAAAAGTTATACGCCACGCAGACACACACACCACAGACACTAGGGGTGTTGAAAATAATCGTTTCTACGATGCATTGCGATGCGGACGTGGAGGATTCGGTCTCGGTGCAGTGACGGAAGATAATCGGTTATAGCGTAGTAACGTTGCTTCCTGATTTTCCGGCCGCGGCTTTACTATAACGTTTTTTTTTCTGTCACTTGTTAGTGTATTCTAAAACCCCGAAGGCAGGAGAGACTGAAAAGAGTCAAGGGAAGCTTATAAAAGTTAACAGCATTTAATTACACAAAAGATGCGGTGGTGTACAAAATGAAATGTGCGAGTGGAGGCGCTCTCCTCATCCGACCGGTCAGTCCAGGTCAGCAGGTAGAAAGAGGTCAATCCTTGGCTTGCTCTTCCTGTTGTCATCGGAGGTCTTCTCCTATTGGCCGGCGTCGTCGGGGGCGGGTCCAATGCAATTTCTGCCTTTTTCTGTTGTTAAATTAAATTAAATTAAATTATATCACCTCTCTGAAGAACCAGCACCTTACCGTGGTAGAGAGGTTTGTGTGCCCTGATGAACCTGGGGGCTGTGTTGTCTGGAACCTTGTGTTCCTGGTAGGGTCTCCCATGGCAAATTGGTCTCAGGCAAGGGGCCAGACTAAGATTGGTTCAAAAGACCTCATGAAAGAAAAACTAAGAAGTGAGGATACCCGGCCCGGAGGAATCCCGGGGTCCCCTTCTGGAGCCAGGCCCAGAAGGAGGACTCGTCGGCGAGCGTCTGGTGGCCGGGCTTGCCACGGAGCCCGGCCGGGCCCAGCCCGAAAAGGCAACGTGGGCAACACCTCCGCTTCTCCGTCCCGCGGGCCCACCACCTACGGGAAACATCGATGGGGTCGGGTGCGCTGCCAGAAGGGTGGCAGTGAAAGCGGAGGGTCTCGACGGACCAGACCCGGGCGACAGAAGCTGGCTTTGGGGACATGGAACGTCACCTCTCTGGGGGGGAAGGAGCCGGAGCTTGTGCGGGAGGTGGAGCGTTACCAGTTGGATCTGGTTGGGCTCACCTCTACGCACAGCGTCGGCTCTGGAACCTTACTTCTGGATAGGGGTTGGACTCTATTCTTCTCCGGAGTTGCTCAAGGTGTGAGGCGCCGGGCGGGTGTGGGGATACTCACAATTCCCCGGTTAGGTGCTTCGTTGTTGGAGTTTACCCCAGTGGACGAGAGGGTCGCCTCCCTACGCCTGCGGGTTATGGGGGGGAAAACTCTGACTGTTGTGTGTGCTTATGCACCCAACAGCAGTTCAGAGTATACGGCCTTCTTGGAGACCCTGGAAAGAGTCCTGTATGGGGCTCCTGAAGGGGACTCTTTAATCTTGCTGGGAGACTTCAACGCACATGTGGGCAATGATGGAGACACTTGGAGGGGCGTGATTGGGAGGAACGGCCCCCCTGATCTGAACCGGAGTGGTGGTTTGTTACTGGACTTCTGTGCTAGTCATGGATTGGCCATAACAAACACCATGTTCGAACATAAGGATGCTCATAAGTGTACGTGGTACCAGAGCACCCTAGGCAGAAGGTCCATGATCGATTTCGTTATCGTATCATCGGACCTGAGGCCGTATGTTTTGGACACTCGGGTAAAGAGAGGGGCGGAGTTGTCAACTGATCACCATCTGGTGGTGAGTTGGGTCGAGTGGCGGGGGAAGCCTCTGGATAGACCTGGTAAGCCCAAACGTGTAGTTCGGGTGAACTGGGAACGTCTGGAGGAGGCCCAAGTTCAGGAGGCCTTCAACTCGCACCTCCGGCGGAGCTTTTCGGGCATTCCTGTGGAGGTTGGGGACATTGAACCAGAGTGGTCGGTGTTCAAAGCCTCTATTGCCGAAGCCGCGGCGGGGAGCTGTGGTCTCAAGGTCCTAGGTGCCTCAAGGGGCGGTAACCCTCGAACCTCCTGGTGGACACCGGTGGTCAGGGAAGCCGTCCGACTGAAGAAGGAGGCCTTCAGGGATTTGTTATCCCGGGGGACTCCCGAGGCAGTTGCAAGGTACCGACAGGCCCGAAGGGCAGCAGCCTCATCCGTGGCCGAGGCAAAGCAGCGGGTGTGGGAGAAGTTCGGAGAAGACATGGAGAAGGACTTTCGGGCGGCACCAAAGTTGTTCTGGAAAACTGTCCGACACCTCAGGAGGGGGAAGCAGGGAACCATCCAAGCTGTGTACAGTAAGGATGGGACGTTGTTGACCTCAACTGATGGAGTGTTAGGGCGTTGGAAGGAACACTTTGAGGAACTCCTGAACCCGACAACTCCGCCCTCTATGTTAGAGGCAGAGCTGGAGTATGACGGGGGATCAACACCAATCTCCCGGGGGGAGGTCACTGAGGTCGTCAAACAACTCCACAGTGGCAAAGCCCCGGGGGTGGATGAGATCCGCCCGGAAATGCTGAAGGCTCTGGGTGTTGAGGGACTGTCATGGTTGACACGTCTCATCAACGTTGCGTGGAAGTCGGAAACAGTACCGAAGGAGTGGCAGACCGGGGTGGTGGTCCCCCTTTTTAAAAAGGGGGATCAGAGGGTGTGTGCCAATTACAGAGGCATCACACTACTCAGCCTCCCCGGGAAAGTTTACTCTAAGGTACTCGAAAGGAGGGTCAGGCCGATTGTCGAACCTCAGATTGAGGAGGAACAATGCGGATTCCGTCCTGGTCGTGGAACGACGGATCAGCTTTTTACTCTCGCAAGGATCCTGGAGGGGGCCTGGGAATACGCTTATCCGGTCTACATGTGTTTTGTAGACTTGGAGAAGGCGTATGACCGAGTTCCCAGGGAGTTACTGTGGGAGGTGCTGGCGGGAGTATGGGGTGAGGGGGTCTCTACTCAGGGCCATCCAATCTCTGTACTCCCAAAGCGAGAGCTGTGTCCGGGTCCTCGGCAGTAAGTCGGACCCATTTCCGGTGAGGGTTGGCCTCCGCCAGGGCTGCGCTTTGTCACCAATCCTGTTTGTAATATACATGGATCGGATTTCGAGGCGTAGTCGTGGGGGAGGGGGTCTGCAGTTCGGTGGACTAAGGATTGCACCACTGCTTTTTGCAGATGATGTGGTTCTAATGGCTTCATCGGTCTGCGACCTTCAGCACTCACTGGATCGGTTCGCAACCGAGTGTGAAGCGGCTGGGATGAGGATCAGCACCTCCAAATCTGAGGCCATGGTTCTCAGCAGGAAACCGATGGACTGTCCACTTCAAGTAGGGAATGAGTCCTTACCCCAAGTGAAGGAGTTCAAGTATCTCGGGGTCTTGTTCTCGAGTGAGGGAACAATGGAGCGTGAGATGGGCCGGAGAATCGGAGCAGCGGGAGCGGTACTGCAGTCGCTTTACCGCACCGTTGTGACGAAAAGGGAGCTGAGCCAGAAGGCAAAGCTCTCTGTCTACCGGGCCATTTTCGTTCCTACCCTCACCTATGGTCATGAAGGATGGGTCATGACCGAAAGAACGAGATCGCGGATACAAGCGGCCGAGATGGGTTTTCTCCGCAGGGTGGCTGGTGTCTCCCTTAGGGATAAGGTGAGAAGTTCGGTCATCAGGGAGGGACTCGGAGTTGAGCCGCTCCTCCTTCGCGTCGAAAGGAGCCAGTTGAGGTGGTTCGGGCACCTAGTTAGGATGCCACCTGGGCGCCTCCCTAGGGAGGTGTTCCAGGCACGTCCAGCTGGGAAGAGACCAAGGGGTAGACCTAGGACCAGGTGGAGGGATTATATCTCTTCGCTGGCCTGGGAGCGCCTTGGGATCCCCCAGTCAGAGCTGGTTGATGTCGCCAGGGAAAATAAAGTATGGGGCTCTCTGCTGGAACTGCTACCCCCGCGACCCGACCACGGATAAGCGGAAGAAGATGGATGGATGGAATTATATCATTCTGGTGTCTGTGGTTATTTAAACATTTCCTAATAAACGTTATTCAGCGGTAATAAATGAGTGCTAAACCCAGTGTGCTCAGTGTACAACATCACATGTCATTTCACCTTTGATTCACGGTTTGAAAATGCAGCAGTGGGCGACATTATTGTCACAAGTAAGAAGGAAATTACATACCTAGGATCTATTCTTGAGGCAAACCTCTCCTGTGACAAAATGGCATCCAATGTAATAAAAAAAGTCAATCAAAGAACTAGATTCCTATACCGGATCTCCTCTCTGGTAAACAAAAACACCCTGAAAACTCTGGTAGGAGCACTCATTCAAGGGTACTATGACTATGCTTGCACGTCATGGTACCATAGCACCTCCAAGGCGCTAAAAATAAAACTTCAAACATCGCAAAATAAACTGGTCAGACTACTGCTTGACCTTTCATCTAGAACCCACCTCACCTCTGCCCACTTTGACAACCTAGGATGGCTTAGAGTAGACGACAGAGTACAGCTACTTGCAATGGGCCTGGTCTACAAGATCCACTACACCTCTATGGTACCCATGTACATGTCAAAATTATTCCCAAAGGTCAAGGAATACCATGATCATAACACCAGAGGGAGCTCCACAAATCATGTGAAACCCAGATTTGGCACAAAAAAGGGGGAATACACGTTTCGCAATTATGCCACATCAAGGTGGAACGCTCTTCCCACAACTGTAAAGGAAAGTCAAACTATACTTACCTTCAAAACCTCTCTTAAAGAGCACCTTCGGGGGAGAGCATTGCAAAACTGGCCCCGGTAATGGTACAAATCTCAACCTGTCGTTCAATGGACAGCTTCCCCCCCCCCCCCCCATCTATGTATATACTCGCATTTTAGACTCTGTTACTAACTGTATATCTGTAGACTTGGTATGTCTTAAATGTCCGGTTAGGATGTATTATAACGAAATCTAAAATGAAAATTGTAAACAAGCAATCTGTATGTAAA